CAAGATATTGTCCGCCGTAACAAAAGGTACACGATGTACACCACCAACCTTCAACCCTCCCGGTCCGACTCAGGTCCCTCCTCTACTCTCTGCCCGCCAACTCGCTCCGCAACGTCACCGGCCGCCGCCTAAACCTCACACCACCGCCTGATCTACCACAACCAGGAACCCAGAAACAGGCTCTGAAACCCACCTCTGCTGCCCGTATTTGCTGTCGCGCGCACGCTTTTCTTGAAGCGCCCGAGCCTGGCTTTTTCTCCCTTTGTGCCCGTGTATGTGTGTGTAGGCAGGTGGGGGAGAAAACGGTCGTTTGCTTTGCAAAGGCAATCAATCGCTCCTCTCTCTTCTTTTGCCCCCCCAACGCGTTGATTTTGCGCCCTTTTCCTTTTTCTTTTTTTTTTTGCGACAAGAGAAGAAGAACAAAACAGTTTGGAAAAGAAGACAACAAGTTTGCGGCCAGGTTCGTGCATACTTAGGCGCGAGCTTGTTCGCCCGTCGTCTGCACCTTCTTTGCCTTGAGGAGCGGAAAGCCAGTCAAAAGGGCAGAAGGGCGAGTCGAGCAAGAGGGACAGACTGACTGACCGACGGACTGACTGACTGACTGACTGACTGACTGACTGACTGGCTGGCTGGCTGGCTTGCGCTTGCTGAGATTGGTGCGAGTAGGCTGCAACACCACGACCACTGCCACCACCATTACCCGCACAAGACTGACCGCTCTACTTCTTTTGCTGTTGAAGCTGCAACCGAATTGGTGTGCAGACGCTGTGTTGCAGGTACGAACGGATCTCTTGCACGACGCTCTCCACCTCACGACGCTCCATCCACGACTTTCCACCTAATCGAACACACACCACACATACGCACACATACACACAAATTACGACATGACGACTCGTAAGCGCCGCGCTCCCGGCGCATCACCCCAGGCTGCCACGCAGACGTTCCAGCAAGATATCCCCATGCAAAATGACGGTTACATGACGTGGCACGATGCCGGGCTCAACGCCGACATGAATGGGTTCAGCGACCCCTCACTCTACGACACATATGGCGCCAGCATGGGCGGCGGAGGACACAACAGAGTCGTTTCGCTCGACGGCCTCAACGATGCCACCGATGCGAACGCCGGCCAATTGGTGCGCAGGAACCCGAATCAGCAGCTCGCGCCGGCCCCGAGGCGGAATGGCTGGGACGGCTATGGCAATGGCGATGGGCAGGGGTGGGAGGCGGCCGACGATTCGATTGAGGATTTGGAGGCCAAGGCTGCCATTGCGAAGAAGGATGCACAGGCAAAACGGAAGCAGATTCCCCCGTTTGTGCAGAAGTTGAGCAGGTAGGTTTTCCATGCCACCATGGGCCGTGTAGGAGAGGGAGATGGCTAATCGCTCGACAGTTTTCTCGACAACAACAAGAATGAAAACCTCATCCGATGGTCGGACGACGGCAACTCGTTCATCGTGCTGGACGAGGACGAGTTCGCGCGCACGCTCATCCCGGAGCTGTTCAAGCATAACAACTACGCCTCCTTTGTGCGCCAGCTGAATATGTACGGCTTCCACAAAAAGGTCGGCCTGTCGGACAACTCGATGAAGGCCAGCGAGACCAAGGCGAAGGCACCGAGTGAGTACTACAACAAGTACTTCAAGCGTGGTCGGCCGGAACTACTCTGGCTCATTCAGAAGCCCAAGAACCCGCCGGCTGGCCCAAAGCGGAAACGGGACGACAACGGCAAAGACGACAGCGATGAAGAGCGCAAGTACGTGCAAGACGCGGGTGGCGGAGGCTATGTCGAGGAGCTGGCCGTGCGGAATAACGAGCACATGGCTATGATTCCACGGTCAGAGTACAACAGCCTGCGGGTCGAAGTCCGGGAGCTCCAGCAACAGCAAAAGCTCATCTCGAACGTGCTGACACAGATTAAGCGGCAGAACGAGGAGCTGTATTCACGCGCTACCTCTTTCCAGGCACTGCACGACCGACATGAGAATTCCATCAACGCCATCTTGACCTTCCTGGCCACCTTCTACAATCGGAGCCTCGAAGGCAATGCCAACGGCATGAACCTTGCAGACATGTTTCCGGCCCCCCGACAACAGCCTCACGGTAACGTTGTGGATGTGGACGACTACCCACAGCAGGAAATGCACAAATCACCCCAGCTCCAGCGCAACAAGCGCCCTCTTGCCATTCTCCCCGCACCACCACCACAAGAGCTCCTCAGCCCCATGGCATCAGGCCGTGCAACCACCATGAGCCCAACCACACGACCCATGCCAAGCCCCCTCGCACGCTCTGGCAGCCGATCCTCACTCTTCAAATCACCACAGCAACAGCAGCAGCAACCCTCGCGGCAGCCATCGGCCACGGCCTCGCAAGGTCGCGACAGCATGTCTGCTGCGCCCATCAAATCCGAATCCCCCTCCCTCCTCGAAAACTCTGAAATCATGTCCGCCATACGATCTGCGAACGCCTCTGCAGGCCATCCCCCTCCCAACTCCTCATCCGCCTCTGCGAACCCAAACGCAGCACCACATCAACCACATTTTGACTATGCGGCCGCACTCTCAAACTACCAGACTGCCGACGGTCACGTCCCGCTCACATCACAGCAACGCGCCGACGTGCTCAGCCAAATTGCAGCACACTCGACGACCAATGGAAACAACGCGCTCACGCAGCCCACGCCACCTTCACCCGACATGTCGAATCTGCTGAGCGACCTCGCACAGTATCAGGCGACGCAGCACCAGCTGGAGATGCTGCAGAAGCTGAGCGAGGAGCAGAACAGTCGGATTCGCGGAATCCAGGAGCGTGTGTTGCCTCTGAGTCCTAGCGGGCAGATTGAGGGCCTCAGCGACGCGCATGCGCACGTCAATGGTGGGGGTGTCAATGGCGGGTCGGGATCGTACTTTGGCCAGGGTGGCGGCTCGGCGGGCTTGGGCGAGCCCGGTGTGTATGATTTGGATTTTGACAACCTGGTCCAGGGCGAGGACTTTTATCCCAATGGCAACGACGAGGATGACAGCGGGGTTGGCGTCGGCGCACCGGGCTTATCTGCACCGGGACCGGGGAACCCAGGCGTACATGCTGTGAGCAGCGGTCTTCCAGACTTTAATTTCGAGCCTGGGACCCCGTTTGATGCCGCGGCCGGCGATGGCTTCGACTTTTCTGCCGCCATGGATGGCGTCGGTGGCGTTGGCGCCGGTGCTGGTGCTGGTGCTGGTGCTGGTGCTGGTTGTGTCGGCGTTGGAGGCACGGCCATGCCGCCCACACACACACCCGTCGATGACGCGGTCATGCCTTCGCTCACGGCCCCTGCTCTGGACGGCACGGGTAGTGGGACGGGTAGCAGTACGACGACTAGTCCAGCGCCGACGGTTGAGGAGGTCGAGGATGAGACGCGTAGACGGAGTCCCAAGAGGAGGAAGAAGTAGGAAGGGTTTTTGTTTGTTTTCCTTCTTTTTTGGGGAGATTCTTTTTATTTTTTATCTTGGGGGGTTTTTTGGATTTGGAGGGGAGGGGAGGGGAGGGGAGATGGGAGGTGGGAATTATAGACGATGGAGATGGGAGACGGGATACACGCGGGGATACTGTGTGGGGTTTTGTATGCCTGTCTGGCTTCCTACCTACCTACCTACCTACCTATTTACCACGATTTTCATACCTACATACCTTTGATCCATCTACCGTTTTCTAGACTTTTACTTGTTTGCTCTTTTTTTCACTCTTTGTGCCAATATCTCGTTTTGGGTGGGTGGGTATGTGTATGTATATGTGATATTCAATTTTTTTTTTTTTTTTTTAGGTTTTTGGGTATAGGGAGGGGGTGGGGATGGGTTGGTGGAGTTTGAGATGATATATGACCTGCGTATATGGGGTATATGGATTTGGATTTGGGTGTGGGTCTGGATACGGGTATGAATACACGACCATGTTTCTTCTCACCGTTGACGTCTTCTCACCCGTACCATTACTATTCCTGAATCTTAAACTGGCCCCAGCCTAGTGGAGTCTTTTCTTACGCATAGTTGGGGTTTGAGCGGGATTTTGAATTTTATCCTCGAGTGAGTGGAGATTTCCCTTGCATTTCTTCTTCTTGGTCAGGGTGATGACTGTGCTTTGACGTGCCAAGGGGACGTTGTACTGCTTCTCCCATGACGAACAAGGAAGAAGATGCTCGCCGTTGTCTCGGATCGGATGATTCGAATACACAATCCATTTATCAAGTCTCGCTTTTCTCGCTTTTCCTGTTTTTTTTTTCGAATCATGCAAGTACAATGTACATTTCACCAGACAATACAATACCGAGATACCCGTCTATCGTCTCAAACACCCACCACCAAACCCCCCAGTCCATACCCACTCCCCCACCCCCCTTCCATAAACCACACCCAACACCCGCACCGAAATCCCCGCGCACCCTCGGAATCTGGCTCCCAGTAGAGTAGCGTGGAATCTGTGTCTCGGGTGGGTGCCGGTGCTCCGGTGGGCTGGGCTGGGTTGGGTTACGGGTGTCTGGCTGGCTGGTAGGTACCGTGCTACGGAGTCGGTGGTGGTGGGAGGTTAAAATAGTGTGAGTGGGGGTGGGGATGGTGCGCGCTTTGCTGGTTTGGGAATGGGGGGAGGATTGATCTCTCTTGTACGACTGTTAGCATTTCATCTCAAGATAAGATCCAACAATGGCAAAAATACAGTCGTGTACAAGACCTACCGGTACACCTCCAGAACAAACCATCCGTCTTAAGAATACTAACATCAACCCCCACCCCTCCTTACCAAACCCACTCCTTCAGCCCAACCCGCGACATCCCCTTCCCCCCACGATTCGCCTTGAAATAATACGGCACAAACCTCAACCTCTCAAGCGGCTCCGCCTTACGCGCCATGTGCAGACAGTGGCATGCGGCTAAGGCGACTAGCATCAATCAGGTAAAGGCGTCTTCTAGTAAAGTTAGTGTACACTCTCCCCGAAACTCCTTAGATGCATGTTAGTAAACTAGTACCTGAGCCGCCCAACCCACAACCGATGTCTCCCTGAATTCCCCCTTCCTCAGCACCGCCGACAAGATCTCTCCACGCGAGCATAATACAAAGTGCCATCATTCCCTGTTTCCTTGTGATCCACGTGGGGTCGGAACTCCCTCCTGCTCTACGGTAGTGGGAATTAGCCGAACGAGGAATGAGGGGTGGAGGGCTACCTAGTGTTTGCGGGGATTACAGTATAGCTTGTGATTGGACTTTTTCCGACGGCATTGAAACTGGAGACTAGATAGTTGGTACAAGTCTATAGGATTAGAGAAAAATTCAAAGACTCATCCGAACAGGAATTGCTGTTACCACAATGTCGTGCATTGGATGATCAGCGAGCGTTAACTGTCTACTGTATTAGGCGTGTGTTGGGCATGCAAAGATGAAGATCTTACATGGAACTTTATCATGAGCATGTATAGCACAGGCCATGTGGTATAACGGGCATCATTTCATAGGATACTACATATATTGTAGTCGCTTCTGTCCTGTTGAAATTCAACGCCTAGACTCATTGCATCCCAATCATCAAGCCCTATTTATCAGACTCCCACCGGAGTAACAATCCTTGCTTATGCACGGGGCATATGCTCCCAAGGGAAAGCCTGAACGGTTTCCTTCATATCTTGGCCAGTTTCCTAGATAATATCAAGGTCCTTGTTCCTAAACTCTTCACTGACAGCTTCCTTCATCCACGGCCCACCAATTGATTCCTCATTGCACCCTCATAACCCACCAATATTCTCTTCAATAAACACCTCCATATCATCTAACGCCTCTCCGACCGCCCGAATCGTCCCCCTCGCAAACCCAATGAATCCATGCGGCGCCCCCGTATAAATCTTCACCACAGTCGCCCCACCCCACATCCCCCACTTCGCCCCCATCATCACACTGTCATCTAGCAACGGATCCTCGCTGCCACACGTAAACAGTGCAGGCGGCAGCCTCCCTGAATATTGTCTGAGATCGGTCCAAAAGGGGCTTATGGAGGGGTGACGCCGCTCGGACTCCGTGGTGTAGGGTAGTAGCGCGTTGACATAGGACGTCATTACGTCGCGGTCTACTACGAGGGAGAGGGTGTGGTTATGTGCGTGGGGTAGAAAGGCGGAGAGGTCGTAGCAGCCGAAGTGGAGGAGGAGGGCGCGGAAGGAGAAGGTTGGGGTGGTGGTTAAGAGGTGGAGGGCTGTCAATAGAGCGAGGTGGGCGCCCGCGGACTGGGGATGACGGTTAGATATTAAGCCAAAAAAACAAATCTGGATAAGTGGTGATATGCATGTAAAGTCTTCGTACCTCGCCGCCGGTAAATAGTAGTTCTCCTCCAAATTCTTGTTTGCTGTTCTTGACAAGCCACTCTGCTGCGTCGTAGCAGTCTTCTATACCCTTTGGCCATGGATCTTCAGGAGCAAGACGGTATCCAATCGAAACAACGGTGATGTTGTAATGATCTGCCATGTATTTCAAATAAGGGTCTTGACTACGACACGCCCGTTAGCAAAGTTTCATAAGGTGATGTCCTTCAAAATTCCTTTGTTCCCCCCACAATCCCGTCACCAACCCCAGAACAATAAATCCAAAACTCACTAAGTTTGGGAAGAGGCGTTTTGCCTTCCCAGCGGAGCGTGCGGTAGGTTGAAGCGCCGACCTGGGACGAGAGTTGTCAGGCATGTGTACGGACATTTTCGTAGCACTGGGAATCAGGGGTGTGGAATATCTTGTTCGTGTAGATATACGAGCATAGGTAACCTCAAAACCCAGAGAGGCAGAGTATCAAGAACAGATGTTGCGCAAAATCTCTCAATGTACAAAACCCCAGACTTCACAGAGAGAAAAAAAAAATAGCAAACTGACCTCATACCACCTCGGCCCATCCTTCCAAATCTTGATTAATCCCTCATTAAACTTCTTGGTCTCCTCATCAATCTCTCTGCTATCGAACTTGGTCCTTGAAATAGTAAGATCGGATGGCAGCGGCATTTCAGCTCTAATATCGATATTTCCCCTGTTGTAAGAAGGGAAGGTTACAAGGAGGACTGAGATGCGGAAATGGCACGATGGACTGGGCAAGTGTCGCGATGGAGCGAAGTGGAGGGTGTAGGTGAGGTTCTATGGATAGTCTATATCCAGAGTCTGGACTATGTTGGTCTTCTGGGCTGTTCGAAGTGGTGGGGAAGCGGGGTAGTTTCGCGGAGATGTTGGGGGTGAAGTTGTGTTATCTCCGGGAAGAATGGCATGTGTGTTTGCAATGCAGAGGGGAAGCGGGATACCGTTTTCGGTGCTGTTTGGCGGTCGTTGAATCCATGGGCCATGTTGATGGGTTATCGCCATTGAATACATAAGAGTGGGTATTTTGAACGAATCGTCTCCGCAGTGCAAGTTGTAGATGGGGTTGCGGTAAGCTACACAGAACATGGACTTGTCAACGCAGTGAAATGAGACGAAGGGTGATAGCACTATGTATATTGGCTATTGATATCAGGCTACTGTTTACTGTTTACTCCTTGAACGTATGCGCGACGATGACATGGGCGAGTATGCTTTCCCGTTGACACTAGTGCGCTTGCGCGACTGCGGCTTGTCCTCGAGGAAGATGGACTCGATGTATGCGACCGAGGACGCTAAAGCCGTGAAAGGATATAATGCAATGCTGCACATTGTTCCCATGGCATCTTTTATGGTTCCCATGACCCAACGAATAGTCATGACAATGAGACCAGGCTGCTGTCCAGTCCTCGCAGCGGCAGCAGCCAGAGACAAGGCATCGCGAAGACGAACATCCAGCTCGCGGAAGCGCGCTTCTGTTTGTATGGCCTCTGCCATTTGACGTTTCTCGTAGCGCCGTACTGCCCGTGTAAGACCGTCGAGCTGGAGTTGCGTGCTCTGTGTGACTTTGGCGCTGATCTCTGTAATGTCAATGTTGGTGGCGAGTGGTCCATCCAATCGAGATTCGAGTTCAGCCACTCGATGTGCCAGATATTCAACTGTCAACTGGTCTTGGGGATCGGTTTTGACTATACGCTGTAGATGCCATATCTTCTCATCGCGGAGCTTGATGAGCTGTTTGAAGGGCCGGTACTCGGAGAAGAGGATGAAGATGACCAGGTTGAAATCCGACACGATGCCCTCCGTACGCGTAAGGTAGCCCCTGAGTGTGTGTAGCAAAGTCGCCCCCAGTAGAGGTCCCAGAAAGCATGCAAACAGAGCTTTCAGCTCTTCTCGCCTCAATGCTTTACGGGCGTTTTCCTTTGCGTTCCAAGCCAAGGCTGTGGTACTGCCGTCATCAAGGTCTTCTGGGCGTGAGCCCTTGTTCTTTCCATCTTCAGAAGCCTGTGGACGCTCTTCGCCACTTTCATTGGCCGCTTCGTCTTCCTCTATGATGCTGTCGTCAAGACGCGTGGAGCTCATGTCATCGTAGTCGTAATGTCGCTCTTGGGCCGCATGGTACCAATGCCTTTGCCATATGAGCAACGGTCACTTGATTGCTACACTGCTACGTTGCCACTCACCAAGGAACCGACACACACCAATGCAGGAACCAGGCTGCCATGGCGAGTATCAAGAGATCGGATGCAATGGCCGCTCCATTATCATACGTCAGCCCTACTAGGGCTGGCACGATGGCAGCCACAACAGGAATCGAGATCCAGTCCGCTGGCTCATCTGTTGCTTTGGACTTGGGCATCTCATATTTTCCACTCGTTCGCGGCAGGTCGTCCATTGACGACTGATGAGAGAAGCGCGTATCCGAGTAATTGGAGAGGAGAGAGCTGCGACGCCGTGCCAATCGAGGCGGAGAAGATGTGCCTGCACCGTCTGCACAAGTGGCTGCGCGTTTCAGCATTCTCTGGCGGAGCTGCAATTGGGGATTCATCTGAGGAGAGCCCGAAGCGTGGCCCTCGTGGGTGAAGGCGAGGCCGCGATGAATCGAGGAGATGGTGGGAGGTGCCCTACAGGTATGTGGCCTGTTGGGCTGAACAAACTATGATGGCAACCTAGACCGTAGCAACCGCGCCCATGTGCATCTTGCGTCGTGGTTCTACGACAAAGTCATCCATCTGCGTGGGCTGCAGCATGCCCACGACGAATACTCTCCAACACGCACACGCGTGGAGTCGTATGCCCGCCACTGGGGGAGACCGAATGACGCTAATCTTGATTACGTCATGGGAGACTTGCAACGACGTCGCACCCACACACGCCCTCCGAACTTGCTCGTGTCTCTCTCTCCATCCTTTCCTACCAACTTCTCAACCCAACTTCACCCCAATCACCCCGAATTGCATGTTGGAATCCAGTGCTAATGTCAGATCTGACCTCTATTGCTGTCCTGGATTACCATGTTTTTCTTTGACCTTTGCAGGAGGGAAAGGATGCAGCCACTACCAAACTTGCGGCGCAGGACTCCAGATGGAAGATTTCAAATACTGCAACTTTAAAGAGATCACAAAGTCAATGTTTGCTAACTTGTCTCTTGCTTTTCAGGAAAGTTGCTGCTTATTTCCTATTGCTCCCGTGGTTTCCTCTATTCAGACCCCAATCGGGCAAGGCGAGGTCTCATCGACATCACGACCAGCTGGACGTCCGCAAACATTCACCAAAGCGTTCACCCAGTGCGATGGTTTCAATAGGCCAATTTGATTCACACTGTCACTGATAATCTCTGGTTCCTGCGCGCGCTAGGTCACATTTGCGTTGCTGGACCTGCTTTCACCGCACTGTTCCATGCATGTCAGTCAGGAGCTGCTATTGAGAGGTATTACCTCCAGAGAAGCATGTGAGACCTCTTGAAGATGAGGGCTCCATTGAAAATCAATGTATTATTGAGGATAGGATACCGAGGAGGTTGTGCCCACTCTCTTGGTCTATCCTTTCTACATCTGCCAGTCTGAGTTGACTTCTCATTTATCATTGCCGCTTTGGGACCACCACCATCCAGACGCCCAGAGACAAAGCCATTTTACGCCCAGATTACAGATCTTCAACCCACGGCTACATCCGTGGGACCCATCCAGACCAGCCTAGCTGACTCTTCCGGAAGAGGGCCGACGTCTTCTCTTGCCCATACTTAGCCTGCTATGGTCGTCCCTGATCTCACAGCGTCAACGGAGTACGACTTTTCAGGCATGTCCTATTACAATTTCACCACCAACGTCACGGGCACTCCGATCGCTCCCCTCTACCCACAAGCCATCCTCCTCCCCTTATTCGCTTTCCCAGCATGGATATTATGCATTCCCTCGCTAATATGGCACTTCAGTCAGGGGAACATTGCAGCTGGCTCGGTCGTGACCTGGGTCGTTCTCAACAACTTCTACAATGCCATTAATCCACTCATCTGGCCTCGAGACAACATCCTTGAGTGGTTTGATGGCAAGATTTGGTGTGACATTGGCGTGCGGATCCAAGTTGGTACCGTCGTCGGTATTGCTGCCTCCACAACCATGATCATCCGGAAGCTAGCTAGGGTAATGGACACAAGCAACATTGTCGTGTCATCGAGCAGAAATAGCAAGTTGAAAGAGAAGATTTGGGAGGTTGTGTGGTGCTGGGGCTATCCATTGGTAATGATCCTCCTGTACTATATCGTTCAGCCTATTCGCTACTTCATCTTTGGGATTGTCGGTTGCGTCTCTGGCTACGATACCAGCTGGCCCAGCATCGTTATCAGCTTCATGTGGGGACCCATAACCATGTTGGCCGCTACATATTATGCAGGTAGGCTGTCATTCCTTATACGAAAACACACAGCTGCATCACTGACCAAGATTAGTCCTCCTCATCTACCGCCTCTATAGATATCGTCGTGAATTCTCGCGACTCATATCCGCTCGCAACACCACCAAATCGCGCTTCGTTCGCCTCTTCATACTCTGCATGATCACCGTCGTCGCCTACACCCCCTATACAATCTGGCTCCTCATCACACTATGCGGAGCCATCAAAGACCCCTACGACTGGGACAGCATACACGGTCCTCAGTTCAACACCATTATGATGATTCCTGCTCTCGGCCAAGTCAGTATTGAGAGATGGATTCAAGTTGCTACCGGCTACGTCATCTTCTTCGTCTACGGCACCGGTGCAGATGCGCATAATCTGTACAAGAAGATGCTGCTCCTCGTTGGCCTGGGCAAATGGTTCCCAAGCTTATACAACTTGAACAGTGCGCCATCAACCTTCATCGCAGCAAGGTCCTGGAGCTCGAGTGTATCGTCCAAGGCCAAGAGCATGTTTTGGTCCAAGAGTGACTCCGAGACTGAGACTATGGATGGTACCACGGCCAATGGCTCCGTACGCCACAACTCCGTCACCCCGACGCAGGTAGTGCCTACCAGATGCAACACCTTGACCCTGACCTCTCGCTTGATCTCTTTCTTCACCTCCATCTTGGCTCGCCAACCCCGCCGCACTGACGTCTTACCGCTTTACTCGCCTGACTACACTGGACGCAGCTTGGTGAGCATCAGCCAGGCTCAAGTTCAGCCGTCGGTCCACCATGCTTCCATCGGTATCGAGACGCATGCTTGGGCGACTGATGAGCCAGCAGTCCCTGGAGCGAGTGGAGCAAATGGCGTACAAGTTAGCCGCGAACTACGCCAGTGCTGCTGCAATAAGAGCGAGGTTGAGAATGAGGGCAAGGGGGGAAAAGATTGGGCTTGAATGAGATCTCTTTCTGAGGCGGTTTGCTCATGGCATGATGGTGGCCTGCCCATCGTATGATGAGCACTTTTCAAACTACTCGGTGAATGTGGGGGAATCTTTTTTGCCATCTATGAGTTTGCCATTTACGAGCCTACGGCGTCACTATTCATTTAGCTTTTGCATACATGTGGCTCTGGT